ACTTTTTGGGCAGGGCCTCGGTTTTTGAATGGACCCTCGGTCCCGGGGTCGCTCGAGTGTAGTGCCGTTTGATAATGGACCCTCTTTCGGGGCCGTGCGATGCCCCCTCGGCGTGATTGCAAAAAGGAGCGACACGACCGCCTGGAAAGATAACAGCGTCGATGGAGGCGAAGGAGAGAGCCAGAAAGAGCGAAAGAAGGAGCAAGGGCCAACCTCGCAAAACCGGAATTTTATACAGTGGCGTAACACCGTCGAATAATACGCTGGGGAACCACGATTCGCGGAGGGTCCCTTCCCGCTTCCCCGGGGTGGCCATTACGCCGCTTCCAAAAATGGCGGATCGACGCCGAAGCGCTTCCCAAGAGGGAATGACAAATGACAGAAAGTCAGCCGGTGAAGAATCGATCCTGCAAGATCCCTCGCCGGAGATGCCGAATCTCCCGGATGGGATTGGCCCCATACGTCCCGGTCACTCCCTGACCCCCGTGATTTTCCGCCCGGCGCATCTCTGATTCATCTCGCGGTTGCTCAATTCCGGCCACCCTCTCCAGCCCCCCAATGGGCGCGTTTCGTAACTCCTCTCCTTTCTTCGGACTTTCTTTTTCTTTATTTCGACGCCTCGAGCGAGGTTAGGGCACCCGACGCCCTGTAGGATAGCATGGGTCCCCATGAGAGGCGGGACCATCGATAAAGAAGACCCTCGGTCGCCTCTTGGCACCGGCCCTCGAGAGGTGGCGGCGCCTCGTGGCCGTGGCCGGAACTTTGGAACCAGGGCTGACCTTGCCAAGGTCACGGCATCCCAATTGCCGAAGAGGGCCCTCGTCCCACCGGGCCCTTATCGTTATTAACCATCCGCCCCTGCTCCCCGGAGGCGCGCGGACTTGGTTCCCCTTTTGCCACGGCCTCGTTACTCTTATAAGGGCGGTGCCTCTTTTTTCACCCGGCGCGGCGCGTCCTTTTTCATCCTACCCGGAGGAGGAGAAGGAGGAGGAGGACGACTTAGTTCCACGCAAAAAGCAGGAGGTTGAAATCAAGATATATAAGTAACTAGCTAAATACGGTATAATTTTCTCTTTTCAGGAACCGAACTCCGGAGTCGGGTGTCCCGAACGAGAGTCCCACCAAAGGTGGGATAGGCAGGTGGTTAAGGGAGCGTCTTGGAGGTGGCTCCAGGAGCAGCCAGGAGGTGGACCCTTCCGGCCCTATCAAAGGGAGCCAAAAATTCTCCAGTGGGACCACTTCCGCCTCGCCGAATCTCTATTGCAGCCTGCCCAGAGAGCACGGTCGCCATTGTGGCCAGAGTGCCGCGTCGCGGAAACCGTGCGCCGTCTTTCCGCCGCGGAATCACGGTCGGCCGCGGTCCAACAGCGCGAATTACCACGAGGGAGTCTTCGAGGTCGCGGCGTCGAATGGCATCCTGACCAGGGGCGGTCCGGTCTACGGAAGCGAGGGCAAGAGCTCCAAGAAGAGGAACCGGGAACGCCGCCGGTACTCCTTGAACGAGGCTCGCGAGCACACGCGTAATTCGCGTAAGAGGTGAGTCTTGCTCGGCATAATTACCGGTCTTACGTCTGCCGCTTTGTGCGCGGCATACCGATGGCGAGGGAAGGCCGACGAGTTATCGATCGGCCCGATCGATTCCAGGGATGCGAGCAACCGGGTTACCATTACCGTAGATCTACCCCAAAGAACCAGGTGACACTTTACTCTGATCATTAATAGTCTTACGGTATAGTCTTAGACCGGTCACTCCGAAAATTGCCCTCGACTTCTTTTAAGGCGATTGGTCAACCCTTACCTAGGTTATCGTAAAATTATTTTATAATTTTTAAAATAACCTAGGACATGGGATTCTGCCTTGGGAATAAAGAGACTCGTCCTTTACCATTTACTTTTAGGGAGTACCATGGTACCATAGTATAGGCGCGTTGCTCCCCATCGTATCCTTGGTCCAGGCCACGTGGGTGGGCCCGCGCTCGCCACGTGGGAGGGTCCTTGTAGCCTCATTTAGCCGCCACGAGGACACCATACTTAGGAATCGACGACCGTTAGTTCACTCCTGTTTTCAAATCCCTATTTTCCAACCCAAGGTGAGAGAAGCCAAGATTTCGAGCTCGCGTCCCACCTTATTGCCCCGATGGGCGATAAACTCGGGTCCTAGGAACCGCGACTTGGGCAGGTCGTCCTGTATAAACGGGAATAAGAATGCGCGCCAGGTCGCAGGATATTCTCTTAGACGTGGCACCCTCGGCCCTGCTGAACCATCCATGGCGTCCATGGCGGTAGTTGTAAGTGTCCACGACTGGTATGCGAGCGGGGTGTACGGCCGCGATATATGGCCGTTCCCGAGGTCCTCCAGAGCCTCGTACCCCTCGCCACGGTCCGTGTGCGATCCCTCGCGGAAACGCAGCGCGGAATGCTTGCGGAGCGTCGTCCACCCGGGAGAGACGGCTCGGGATAACGTCCTGGTGTATGGTGTCCGAGTGGCTGGGATTATTACTCGCGATTAACGGAGACCCGGGGGACAATATCGAGGGAGGCGGGCATTTTTTTTTTCTTCCACCTTCTCCGCCCGTCTTCCTCCTCCGCTGGTATAACCTCGTGAATTTACGGCGTGGCTCGCGATAACCTCGATAGGACGACACGGCGCACGCCCCGAGGCGAATCTATTGTGTCCCTATGGCAAGCACGTAGGACGCGGCCACGCGAAACGGCCGCAACGCCACCTTCGCCGTCGACGGAAATCGAAAGCGGGAGGAGCGTGTTTCCCGCTCTTCTTGGCTCGATACACCCACGTAAGGGGCCCTGGTCGAGGATCTCGAGTGTAGGTGGGATATTGGCCGGCCGACTCGACAAGACCGCCGAGGCGAAACAATCGAACCGCCCGGATGGCGGAGAAAAACCGCGATGCATGGGCCGCAGGCTAGAGGCGCTCTTTTGGTTCCCACGTCGCAGGACCACGTCGGAGGACTGAACATCCTAACCGGATGTGCGGGGGGTTTGGCGGGACCTCTACTTTCTTTAAGAACAAACATCCTGCGGAGGAATATGGAATTTAGGATATAGGCACTCCTTCTTCAAGGCGACGTCCTGTTGTGCTCGCAGACTCCTAGCGATCGTTGATGAGAAAGATCGGGCTTGGTCCTGGAAATATGGTCAGGATTTGGCCTTAGTCTCGAAAAAGTGAAGGTGCGAGACTAAGGTCGATTTTTATCGGAAGAAGATTGCCCAGAAGAAGAGGCTCCGAAGTCCGGGATTGGGGGCCTCGTGCTCGCCGATCGGGCGTCGATATCTCCAGGTGGGATCGGCCCTTCGAGGGACCGGCCGGGCGGGCCGGCTAAATATAGCTAAGTCGAGGATATAAATAGGGTAACCCCTTGGGTCAGCGCTCGCGACTGGATTTTTGACCCCGAGGTTCCGGGAGTTTCGTCCTGGCCGGCGTGCCACCTCGATCTTCTCCTGGGATGGCCTCCGGGCCCGACCTCGTGAAGGAGTGGAGGTCGTTCCCTCGAATCAAGCGCATTCCAAGGCCTCGGCCGCCGAGGAGGTTGACAGCGAAGCGGGACCCGAAGTCGCCGAGGCCGGGTTCAGGGGTCGTCCTGGCGTCCGCCACGCACGAGGATTAATGTCGGCGACGTCCCGCTCTGGGCGAGATGAGATCCCTGGACCGGCGCCGGAGGAGAGAGGGATCCGCGGCCGTTGACCTCGCGGATTCGTCCTTGAGGATACGAATGCGCCGGGTTTATGCAACCACTTTTGCCGCCATCCTCGCCCTCCATCTTCGCTGTCCCTCCGCGGGGAGAGATATACTCCGGCCGGTCCGAATCCCACATGCATCGCTAACGAGCTCTGGGATTTGCGATAATGCATCTGATTTAATGCCGCCTCCATTATCAAATGATTTGCCGGGCTTAAGTGCCGGTCTCGCGCGGCCGGTGGGTGGAAAGGTTGAGGCCCCGCTGAAGAGCGTCTCCTTGCGTCTTAAGGACCTCTTCGTCTCCTTCCAGGGCGGCGATCGTGGGCTCTCCGTGACCGTCCGAACCAAGGCTCGCGGTGATCGGCGAAATTGGTCTTACCGTCTTGGTCTTGGTCCTGCGAGACGTGCAAGTCACCGGAATTTCGAGCTCCTTCCTTGGTCCTGTCTCCCCAAAGCTTCTCGTCCTAACCGTGGAATTCCGAGGTCCTCGCCCAGCCCTATCGACTCGGGCTCTCGACAGGAATGCAGGGCCCCAGGTTTTCGCCATAGGCGGACGCGAAATTGACGGCCGAACTTTACCGGGCGGCCGACACCTCCCTCGACGGAGCACGCGTGTTGCGAGGTGAGCCCGTCCGTGTGTTACACGCGCCAGGAACGAGATGCAGCCAGGGATCCTTGAACCTGCAGGAATGCAGTGGTGGCAGCCCACGCGGCCTCAAGTACCCCACTCCATTGCTCGTCCGATCTAATCCCCGTAGGGCCCCGTAGGACCCCGTAGGACCCCGTGCATACACGGAGATCTGTATTGGCTAGCACGCGCGCCTTCGCCAGCCCTTTTCATCCGCCCTTTTATCCTCTGCCTCCTCTTGGCTCCATCTTCTCGTTTTTCTCCCCGGCGTGACGTCTCCGTCATTTGGAGCCGCGCGAGCCTTTCGAGCCTTTCGAGCCTTTCGAGCCTTTCGAGCCTCCAATGCCACGTAGCAACTGCAACACCTGCGGTGTCGAAAGCACCAGTCCTTCTTCAAGGACCTCTGCCAGTTTCCCGCCGCACCAGACCCCCCGATTTCAAATGAAATTTACCGACCCACCCTACAATGGCGGCGCCACAATTTCGTTTAGAATTATTGGATGTATGTACCGTATGAGCTCATCCCCTATGTACTGGTCTCACGATGCAAATCCTTTGGACGAATCGATTCAAATGTTTCGCCGCTGCGAAATTTTCCTCGACACGTGCTAACCCCTGAGGTTGCACGTTTTTCCGCGAGATTTTTTTCCCCACACTTTCGGCGAGGAGCCGAGCATGAGTCCCTTCGAGCCAGGGGACGCGAAGGTCCTGGAGGTCTTCGACGTGCACCACTCCGCGCAGGACATCCCGGAATGGACACCGATGGAGGAGGAGCTCGAGGGGGAGGAAGACCAGGACGAGCCTCGGTACTTCGACCTCGAGGATGGTCACGATGAGCAAGAAAACGCACAAGAAGGGTACGACGAGGACGACGAACCCGAGGAGGCGGTAGAGGATGAGGAGCCGAAGCTTTCGACGAAGGCGACAACAGAGATAGAGGTTAGACAGGAGAAAACGGAAGCTATGAGACATGAGAGAGCTTCCCTGCTCCTGGAGAGCATCGCCGATGACGAGGATCTGGAGCACTATTTCGAGAGGATCCCTGAACAGGTTGGCCTTAAAGAGCTGGGAACCACCTTGGGACATCTACAATTTTAATCTCTGACAGGTCGCCGAGGACCGATCCGCGATGACCGAAAAATTGAAGCAGTTGTTGTCGGAACAAGCTGGACTGCAGAGGAAAAACAGGCTGCTGGAGATCTGGACCCTGAAGCACATGAAGAAGGTCAGCCGTGGGTGCCGAATATGTGTCCCATCAGCCATTTTCTGGGATCTAGTCGTTTACTGCCCTCTACCTTCCCGTTCTCCAGGCAGATCGGAAGATGGCTCCCAGTGACATGACCAAGAGACAGGATGAGTCTGAACGGCACTACCGGGTGTTTCTGGCCAGGTATAGTCTCCAGGTGGATAAACTCGTCCAGATTGAAATTCAAACGCGAGCCGAGCTGGAGGACTACGAGCTGAAGGCCACCAGGGCTAGGGAAAAGGACCAGGTCACCTTCGACGAGCTCGTAGAGCGACAGAAGTCCGTCGGAGTTGGATTGGTGTTCGCAGCATCCGGCAGGAAGTTGTCAGAAAAGGCGGTGGTTGAGATGATTCGCCGACAGACCTCCAGGAGGAACCTGCTTGTGCGCAACAGGATTTCATACATCTTACAGCGGCACCAACTCGAGGTAGCGATGTGCCGAAATTCGAAGACCTACCTGGGGAGTATGTTAAGGGGAACGCGAAACGGAAACGGAAACGCTAACGTTCGCTTGCTTCGAGGAAATGCACGCGCAGCTGCGCAGCCTGGAGACCCTGGGCGAGGGGATGACCACCATGGACTACGAGGAGCTGAAGGTCCGGCTGATGGCCAACAAGCAGAAGCTCGACGAGCGGGACCACGACCTTGAGAAGTTGCGATACAAGTACTAGTTGTTCGATATAAGTACTAGTGCCGTTCTATTTCCATGGAGTGGGTCTTCGAGGACCTCCATAGCGTCCTCGTGCACTCGATGTACAGGTCGCCTGCGATTTGATCGCAGATTTGACCAGCTGGTGCACACCATCGCTCACATGCGCGAGAAGGAGGTGGCCCTGACCTGGGACATCGTCGACGAGGAGACGGTGCTCGACAGGTAGCCATGAGCAAAATCGATTTTGGTCTCGATCACTAACAGCTCATCACTAACAGATACCGTCAAATTGTCGAAAAGTCCCGAGAAGAGGTTGGCTGCCTGCATCGCTCTCTAGCCAAGGTGCGACAACTGCACCTGGAGAAGAGGAACGAAGCCGGGTTCCTGGTGACCCTGTAAGCACCCCCAAGGAACGCCAAAGACAAGGTCTAATCGACGCATTTTGCAACAGACCGGTGCTGTGGGAGATGGAGAGGACCATGAAGGAGCTGGACGCCCTGAAGAGCGACGTTCAAAGAGTCCAGGAAGAGGTGGAGCGGTACTCCTTGAAGGAGACCAGGGGAAAGACGAGTCAAAGAACCGCCGCCATGATACCCACACCGAGGAAATTCAAGACATCCTTTTTTCTGACTGGCCGGTGACCTCGCAAAACTGTGGATGAACCGCAGACCTTTTCTACTATTTAGTGGCTCCGGCACATCGCCTTTGGCTGCTGATATATATATATATAAGCTTTTCCTACAATTTGAGTGGTCGTCTTCGGCATGGAGTCCCATGTTTGGTCCCTTCACGGATTGGTCGATTTCCCCTCCGTTTCGTTCCTGCCGATCGGAAACGGCGCCAAGGAGACGCAATCGGAATCTAATCGAGGGTTGCACCGAGAATTATGTCCAGGGTGCTCGCCGAGTACTCTCGTTGCTCTCTTTGCAGGACCTAACCTAACTTTTGCATGGGGCACGATCGACTCGATCAAGCGGGGCCTCGGGCTCGATCCCGGAGCAATTGGCGATCGGACGTAGATGCGATCGGCGCGGATGAATACAGGATTTATCGCATCGAGTTTCAAGGCCGAGAGCCACGTTCTAATTGATCGAGGCCCCGAAACCTTAAGGCGATCGCAAATGGAGCTCGTGTCGACGTATATCTTACTCGGTGGCGGGCAAGACAAAACGCGGCCTAATGGATGGGAACGACCGGAGCGAGCCGAATGGTTCGATTAATTCCCATTAAGATCCAGTTACAGTCCTAGCCGGTTGGAGTACTCGAAGTAGACGAAGCTACAGGGTAAAGGGCCTCGGTTGGATGCTTCTCCACCATGGCAAACCACTCCTTTTAACAGGATCAATACCCGGGAATATTCGCGTCGCCGCCCAGATTTCTCGAAGTCTCAATTGTGCGTACGGCGAAAAAGAGCAAAAGTTGGGCCGAGTGTTGCCAGTCACGTTGACCCTTCCAGAGCGGGGTAGCGCACGGTAACGCCGGCGAATTATGTTTCCGGATCATTCGTTTTTTGTCCCGATCCTTCTTTCAGCCGCTGCGCTCCGCGAAGTCCGCCCTCTCATCTCGGTTTTCTCGTGGCCGACCCGGCCGGGCTTTGTTCTGCCCTGGCGAGGCCGCGGGTACGCCGGTCGAGGCTTCCTGGAATCGTGACGTTGCCAACCCCGAGCAAGGTCGCAAAAGTTCCTAGCGATCGCTGGTAACGGTGAAAAAGAGGCTTCTCTCAGGCGCAGACCGCGCGTCGCGCCGCGGAAATCGAATCTCGCGCGCCCAAGGGGATCCAAGATGGCGGCGTGCGTCCGTAGACCGCGACTCCTAGGCGACCCGACCCTCCGTCGGCATTTTTCTTCGGCCCGATCGCCGCGGAACCTGTTCCCCTTGGTCGTAACAGTGACGTTAATTTCACTCTTAAATTAATTAGCCTTCCGTAATAACTTCGGAGGTTACGCGCCGCGGCCGCGTGACCTCGAGAGAAGGTGGGTTTCCAGCGGCGCCGCGGTTCCTTTTTGCGCCGCCGCCGAGCGGAGCGGCGCTGCGGCTAATTCGTTCCGCTGCGATATTGCGAAGACGGAGCCGAGGGACGCGAGAATGGATTCGATCTGGGACTCCGCGCTTCGACGGCTGGACATTTTCGAGGATAAATATCTCCCGTCTCGCCGTAGACGCGAAAGAACGATCGACGAAAGAGAGACGGGGACACGCCGGTTCCGTTTCCGTTGAGACGCACACCCCGTAGACGGAACCGCTATACAACGGAGACAAAATGCGCAGACGTTTTATTTTTTTCTTTTTTTTGCAAGAAACGCCGTAATACCGTATTACACCCTCCGGCCATGAAGAAGCGAGAGGTCGGTGGGTGGACGGCGGGTGGAGTCGCCGAAGTGTCGCAAAGGAACGGCGACATCTTGCAAGGGTATTTCTGCCGATTGTAAGGTGGATCGAATGAAAGGACTTGGGTATCTTCTTCCAGTCTAATTGTCATAATCGTCAAAGTAACGGAGTCTATATTTTATCCTCCGCCCATGGCGGAAGCGAGAGGTTGGTGGGTGGACGGCGGGTGGAGTCGCCGAAGTGTCGCAAAGGAACGGCGACACCTTGCAAGGGTATTTCTGCCGATTGTAAGGTGTATCGAATGAAAGGACCTGGGTATCTTCTTCCCATTTAATTGTCATCATCGTCAAAGGAACGGAGTCTATATTTTATCCTCCGCCCATGGCGGAAGCGAGAGGTCGGTGGGTGGACGGCGGGCGGAGTGGCCGAACTATCGCAAGGGAACGGCGACACCTTGCGCAGGTCTCTTCTGCCGGTTGCGAAGTTGGCTTTCGTAATCGCTATTATTAGCCAGGGCGGAGGGGCGATCGGCGTTAGATTCGACAAACGCGCCTCCTCTCTCCTTGGTGTGGGTAGCCCCGTTCGAGCGGCCGGGGAGCCCACTCGCGCGAGCAGCGAAGAAAAAGAATTCGCATACTTAATTGGTAACCGAGCGGCGAGCGAACCCCGGGCAAAGATGACGCGCTCGTAAACGCTCCTAGGGCCCTGTCCGCGTGCCTTTTCTTCTCGCCGCCCGGCTGCGGGCCGTTTATGCCGTATTTATATCGTCCATAAAGTGTTTCTCATGGTGTTTTACGGAAACGACCGGCGGCCTAGGCCCCGGCATCCCGCCGGTAGAAATAGAAACGCGAGAGCTGGAAATCCGCAGCTCGCGAGATACCGAGATGACCCGACCTGGGGAAAGGCCGGAAGTTATGTGAAATATAAAATCATGAACTCATCAAAATCGCGCCTTAAATCGCTGGAACGATCATTCATCTCCTTATCGTAATCATGAGCAGTGATTACCCGAGGTACCGATTTTGGGACGATTCTTCGTCAGGGTGACGATTCTCGGTTATGTCGCCGTTAACGACTGGAGGGAGGACGAAGGGCGTCATCTTGCCGTCGATGGACTGCGTCGGTTTCCCGAGGAGAGCCGAAATGAGGGAGGGGGGAGGGAAATAAGAGGAACACGAGGGATCTCTCTTTTAGCACTCCCAGGGGGAAGGTATCTCCGAGGGTCCCTTCCGTCGAGGCCTAATTGGCCATTGTGATGGGCATCTCCGGGAGTCCCGGGGCTCGGCGGGTACACGTAAGGTGCACCTCGTGCATTTATTTCGATGCAAGTTGGCGTCTACGGAGCGACTGGTTCTACCAGCGTGTCTGCCCTTCAATTTAATTCGCGATTCGTGCACCGCCGAGACCGCAGATGCATCGCGAGCCTCCTAATAAAAATGGCGGCGCGCGTGCTTCGTGCCTCGCCGGCCACGTTGGATTGCCTTCTTCGGCCACCGCGGCCGCGGTTCGCGGAATCGAAATTAAAGGAGAACAAAGAACGCGGCACCTTCGCTACGCGAGGCGCGTGAATTTCGACCACCGAAGTGCTCGTCTCGAGGTGGAAATCCGCGATTTCCAGGACGACGACGCGTCGTGGGATCTGCCGGATACCCGCAAGAAGGGGAGGAAGAAACGGGAAGATCGACGCCAGCCCTCGAAAATCCCGCCTGCGCCAACGGCGGACGGACAGTGACCGTTTTCGCAGAAGGGCGACGTCGAGGAATCGCGTCCTTTCTCAAGGCCGACCGGTATCCTCCGCTCCTGCCGAGGACCGCGTAACGCCTTTCCATTACGCGATTGCAGCGGCCCTCGCGTGTCGCTCGGCTAGCACGCTTCCCTCGAGACCTCTGAGATCCTCCAAAGAACACCTTGATCTGCATGGGACCTCCGATAAACATTAGTAAACGTCTTAAACCATCTAAAAACCGCGGAACGGTATCCTATTTCGCGACGCCACCGACCGTTTCCGCATCCAATTCAGGAAATGAAGATACCCGGAACGCGTAACTTTGGAACGAGGAACACGAACTTCCCCGCGTCATTATCCCTGGAAAGACAGAGGGTAAATATGGTCCAGATGGGCTGAAATCGTCACGGCTTAACAAATTACGACAAAGGTACGGAGTAAGCGCGACGTTCTCAAGATGGCGGCCGACAAAGTCAAAGTCATGCCGCTGATCGCCGACGTCCTGGGAGGCGAAGGCGCGCGATAACGAAAAAGAACTCTGGAAAGTCATGAGACCAGGTTACTTCTCTCGAGGTATTGAAAATCAATCGAAAGATTTGCGTGGGCCTTCCGAAGGTTACAGCGAAACGTCCTCCGGGCGCGGGGTGGTGTTCAAGATGGCCGCCGAATCAGTCGCTCTTTCTTCGGCCGCTATGGTTACGACTTTCAGGGAGCGACGTAATCCGATATATCGTCACCGGAGAGCCGCGTGTTGTGGCAACACGCGATTAGAACAAAGCGGAACGAGTTCGGGGCCGATTAACGAGCCGGCGACTGATTAAAGGCGGGGGCGTCGCGACTTCCAAAATGGCGGCGCCTTTCCGCGGAGTCTTCTCTGGCGCAATGCGCGCGGTTTCCCGGAAGGCGCAAGGCGACGCGCATCCCGGCGCGCACGTGGGCGCGGCGGTGTTATCAAACATTGGGGAATGTTTTAATTGTGGCTATAATTGAATCGACGTCCGGTCGCCGGCACGAACCCGACGGCCTTGGGTGAAGCCGGCAGATGGTCGGCAAGAGCATCGGACCCTCGATACGCGATACGACTCGCCACGCTTCTCGCGAGTTCTCGCTTTTCGAGCGCCTCCTCGCCAGTTCTGCCCTCTTCGCCTCTTTTTTCCTGCCCCCGGCCGCCCCTCTGTCGCCGGAGCGAGAAACGAGGACGCCTGGACTCGCGGAGGCGGTGAAAATTTCCCTGGGAACCCCACGTGTCGGGACCCAGGAAAAAGTCGACCCGTGCGAAGATGCCGCGCGAGATAAGCCCCTTCTCATAGGTGAACATAGGCGAACGGGCGTTACTATACGCGAGGAGACCGCCATGCGTGCACCCAAGGAACGCGGCGCAACTACCGGTGCCCTGCGACCGTTTCCGCCTGCGCTCGACCTCGCTTCCTGGGACGCCAAAAACCCAGTGACGTCTTCTTCGTCCGTTTCGTGCCCCCGGGGAAACGGTCGACATGCCGGAAATGCTCAAACTCCCTCTACAGATGTCGAAGAAACCACGCGACGGCCATTTTCCCGGGCAACGTCCTCCGCTCAGGCGTTCGCTCGTCTCATTACCCGGTTTCAGGTAATGGTATCAATGTCGGGTTAATTCCGGATCTCAAGCGGCGAATCTATTCGCCGAGTGGGGGCCCATTTTGTTAAACCGAGCCCGGAGCCGTGTAACCAGGCAATAGAGGTGCGTCTCCGTCCCTCTCGCTCGGGTTCGTAAAGCGAGCGAGAAGGAGAGCGAGGTGCACACAAAGCCGGCGGAATAGCGCTGGGCATAGATGCAGCAGTCGATGTAGAGTCGGGCAGGCTCGCACAGGCGGCCAACCAGTCGCCGGGCCTCGTCGAAAGAACCGCGCCGGGTAGAGCGGTCGTTTGCCTTGGGTTGCCTTCGAGCCGGCGCGCGCTCGGCTCTCTCGGCTCTCTCGGAGAGCCCGAGATATCCCGATCCCATTCCCGCCCGGTTTCCGCTGCGTGCATTCCTGGTCCCTCTCCCTCCCTGCCTCCCCCGATCACCGTCCCTCTCTCGCGCGCGCTCGGGCCGCGCCGCCGCGTCTCGGCTACCTTCGGCGCGCCTCGGCCGCGCTCGGTCGGCGCTGCGCCCTCTGCGCTCGCGCTCGGCTGTCCTCGGCATCAGTCGTGGATCGGTGCCCGCACGGTTGGCCTCGCACGGTATGCCGGTGCCGGAGCGCCACGCACGGGCGTCCCTAGTCGACGTCTCCCGGAGGACCCCCGCCGACTGCTAGCCCCGACGAGCAGAGCATCGCCGCCCGCCGGGGGCTGCTCGCGGTGAATCCGCGACGGGCCCGCGCATGGAACACAACGCGTGTGTAGTGTGTGATACCGGCCCCTGGTGTGTACTCCCGACCTCGAGGGCGCGGGGCTGGATTATAGATCGCCAGGAGCGCCCGCTTCTCCCCAGCAACGAATCTACAGGTGGGTGCCCAACGCCGACGCCGACGCCACCACCTGCCGGTCCTCACTGCCGTGCCGGGATGAGCCTATCCTAAAACCTGAGAACCAAAGGATCCATCGTGCAAACGTTCCATACAAAGTCTTTACCGTTCGGCCATCCTGAATTCTAGATATAAGGACTTCGAGTCAACCCACAGAGTACGGGGAAAATACCCATCATTTTATTTCACGGGTTTTTCTTCCATATATTTTATGACTTGGCGAATTCCGTTTATTCGAATGAATTCGCCATGTAACCTTTGACTAAGCGGTGTCTGTTAATTATCGGTTGTTAACCGGTTAGTAGAGTAGATTCGGTAATTTATGAGGCAGTTGTGTCCTGCTGAAACGTAAAAAGTTTCGGGAATTTTCGCCGCACCCTGGAGGTTATCTATGCAAGTAGGCGTTATTCGAGGCGGTTACGTGGCTACTGAGAGACTCGGTAGGATAGGCAATGTAGTCCGAGAATTATTCTGGATTATCCAGGAAAATTCGATTTATCCTGGGAGAACTCGTACGCCGGCTTCTTACGTTCGTTACGTTCGGTTTCAGGCGGCGTATGAAACCGTTACCGAATGGTAGATTTCTAGGCGCTCCTTTGTGCGAGCGCGTGGACTAGAGCGCGGGCATGCGAATAAAGAGAGCGCGGAGGATAAATATTCGCGGCTTGTGCAATTATCCAATTTACTCTAGGCTCCCGATCCTCTACTTTGCCGCGGCGCAGCTTGGCTCTCTTTCCGCGTCTTCGATGGGGCCTGTACTTGGCACGGTTTCAAGTAGCAAGGTGGCGCTTTGTGTAGGTGTTGACCTTTTCAACGGGGTGCACGCCGACTGGTGATAGAATATTTTTCCACTTGCACGTGTGGAGATCGGTCGAGGATCGAGCAGTCTCGTTTAATCAACGGCCTCCGCATGGCGAAACGCGGCTTTTCCTCACGGCGAGACGAATCTCTTGCTCTCGTCTCTACCGGAGAGAAAGAGACACGACCATGCGCCGGCTAAATGGGCGAAATGGCGAGAGGGAGAGAGCAGGATGCTTGGTCGGACTCCTGAAATCAATTTACGCTTCCAGAAACGGGAACGGGGTCCTTGGGGCCCCTAATTTTCTCACGCCTGGAAGTCCATTACTCGCGAGCGCCTAACGCTCGAATTAGAGACAACTGCTCTCCGAGATATCTCCGGTACTACCGATTTCTGTATCACAGTTATGAGAGGTTGATAAACGCCCAGGAAGATGCGTCCTTGTCAGGTCGAATTACCACGAAAAATGTCCTTTTTCAATTCACCGAAGCGATAAATAAGTACACTCGGAGAGGAGACACCTGGCGGGACCAGCTCGCAGGTCTTCCCATTATCCCGTGGGAGTGGCGGCACCCCCAATCCTCCTGGAATCCCATTGAGATGATTCATTCGAAATTTAAAACGCGCCGGACATATTTTCCCTCCTTGGAAAATATGGTAAACCATAATGAGGGGTGGGGGGAGTATTTTCAAAGGCATAGAATTTTAACTGAGCCGGTTTCCTGGGGTTCCGAACCTCACGCTGGTCGGTAATTGATCGGTAATTGATTCCCCGAGAGGAAGGTAAAGGTCGCTCCCGAGAGATCCGATTTTCTCGCGCCTCGGAATCTCTTTTCCCGCTAGGTGGCACCGCGCTCGCGGCGGTCGGGCCGAATCCAGCAATTCGCCGTGATCTCCGCACTTTATAACCGCTTAACGGGCCCCCGAGTGGTTCCCCAGGAATTTTCTCGCGTTCCCACCGCGGGAGTCCGTGTATTTTGTGCCCCGCCGCCGGCGTGCACTCTTCCCCCTGGTACGCTCATTGTCTTGGCCGACCTCGGCGGTTACTTTCTATTAAAAAGGTGCTCGCACGCTCGGCTTAGCAGACTACGTACAAGGCTTCTTCCGTTTATTTGCAGTACGGTAATCAGTCGACCTGCTCGACGGCTGTTGCCGCCCGTTCAACGGGCAGACGTGCCACCTCGGGCCGCCATATTACCGTTTACGTCACGTCGACACCTCGGATCGCCATTATTCGGCTTCGAGCGCGACTGGAAATCGCTTTGCCATTTTTTTCTTCATTTTTTTTTTGTTCTTCCTTTTGAGGTTTCCGTCGTCGTTAAACGCTCCGTTCCCCCGGGGACCGCGCTGCTACCTGGGTTCCCTCTTGCTCTTCGCTTTTACCTCGCTCCCCCCGCGCTTATCCGAGGCACCAAGGATGCGCCAAGGGTGGCCGGGACTTTTTCAATGGGAGAGTATGCGAGCATTAGTGCATCCTTGGGTGTCTGACTAGGCAGCTGCAGGTCCGGCATTTTCTGACGTTCGGTGCGAGAGAGGTATCGCTTATTAAGGCGGGAAGGTTCCGGCCTTGCCGGCGGCGGCCCTATGGGTCATGACCCTGAAGAAAAGGCCCGAGGAACCGTGGAAGCCCTTCTTCGCCTTCCACGAAGTAGCAGCTTTCAACCTGGCGTTTTCGAGGACGGAAACGCGTAGACGCGTAGGACTGTGCAAATGCCGGTAGCTGTTTGCGCTGAACAAACTGCCCCTGCCGTTCGCGTTACGAGATTCTGGTTCTCCGGTTCCTCCTCCACTATGCCGATTAGGCTCTATCTCTTGGTGCCTCGTTTAGGTTCTTCGCGTATTCTAGTACGAGAATTTTCTAACACCGAGGAATTCTATGTAAAAGTAAAGGCTTCTTACGGAGCGTACACCAGTCCTGATTGTAGCCATTTTCAGGGCCTTCAAAGATCTGCGACTTGGTAATCTGGTGGAAGAGCATCCCTTTTCGAGCCCCATTGTGGTACTTTGTCTATAAGCCTAAAAACGTTGCTCCGTCCTCGAGCTCTAAAATTAAATGTATTTTTCGTTTTTCTAAATACCTTAACACGAAATGCCAGATCCGTTACCATCACATCGACGGGGAGGAGAGGTAGACTCCAGTGGTGGAGGGCGCCCTTAGGCGGCCTAGACCGCATAACATTGTAAATCGAAAGGATACTCTCGTGCGGCCTTCCTTTGCCGTACGGGGCGCAATAATAAGCGGCCCCGGTAAACGTCGAAGCGCATTATTACCGGCCACTATTGCCATTTAAGACAGTAACGTATCCCACGACGGGACCGAGAGAGACGAACATGGCCCTCCTCGATGCGTACCAACGCGGCGATAAAAGATGCTCCGGTAAGAAATCGCCCTGATACGGATCGGATCTATCTGGGCTGATAAGCGCGGGTCGGTGGGATGGCAGACCGATGGACTGACTCGTAGTGTGCGGTTACCCGACCTACCACATTTATCTTGGTCATCTCCATTGGGCCGCGGGTGCTCGTACTCGTTGAGGACCCTATGTGCTCGTACAAAGATCACATATGCGCGTACTTGCCAAAGATCACATATGCGCGTACCCGTCAAAGATTATGTATATACGCGTGTACTCGTCGAAGAGCGTGCGCGCACGCGAAGGGGCGCCCCGGTTCCAATTTATATATCATGCCTCGGCGTTACGACCCGCCGCCTCCGGGGAAAGGATAAATAATCTCATCCGCGGATTCACTTTCGGACGACCCGCCGTTTATGGGACTCCCGGGGCGATCGACTCGCGATTCGGAAGTCCGCCGAGATTCCGTCGTCCCTTATCCAGGGGACCATCCTAGACCCGGGGAACCGGGAACGGCGACGATGCTAATCTTCACTATGGGGCTATTCTTATCACGCTGTAACGTATGCACTGTCGCGACTATAATTCAATTTCCTCCGTGTTCGACATTGAGAAAGCGACACCGGATAGCGTTCGGTGCAGATCCCGATAAGATCACGGGAATTGTGAGTGATTCATGTTGTAATCTAGGGCTGAATAGGTGGAGACAGATCATTTGCGCGAGGCTCGGGAGGCATTCCCGAGAGACACCGTGTCTTCGAGTCGTACCTTCCTTGTCCGGAATCACGGTTTCGTCGGAACGCGAGACTCTTTTCGGTCGCCCCTTCGGTCGTATGGTAATCCCGTCTCGAGGTTACAGGACGAGGCGCCATTTTGGAGGCGACGTGCCTCGAGGTAGGCACAAAAAGGCACCCTCGACGAAGGCACCCGGAGGCTTCGCAGAACTCGAATTTGAATTTCGATGCGGACGAGCCCCGACGGCTGTCCAGCCGAGTTATGCAGATGCATTTCCCCCGGGCTCGTCGATAGAGCCTGAAACGTTTTATCCGACTTTACGCCACACGCGCTGATACGCGCGCATGTAAGCGAGGGGCCTCCGCGATAACCGCATTCCTCCTGGCGGATGACGTTTTATTTCACGTCGAGGCTCGCGCGAGAGAGCGCGCACCCGTCCCGGGAGAAAATAATATATATCCCCCGTTCGAGTGGGCAAAGGATGTCGGTCGGGTTCGTCGGGCTCATTTTCATATTCCGGGTGCTTTTTCCCCCCGGGTCGCCTCGGCCTTCTCGATACCCGCCAGTCAAAATCGCATCCTCCACCTTTTACGACAACGGCCGGCTGAACGTATAAGGGAACTCGAGGAAACTTGTAAAAATATTAATTTATATTCATGCGCCCCGCTCCCTTCCTCCACCTCCTTTCCCCCCCACCGGGGAGCGAGAGAACGTGGAGTCGAGCCGTGAAAACCCGGAGCGTTTCCTAAGGCGACCGTCGAGCGGGGCGAATTTCAGCCTGCAACCGCCTCCTGGACGGCCACGAACCATTTAGCACTGTCATAGACCGTAGGTACAGATCTACGGATCTCTACCGATCGTACCTACGCAACCCCGATACTCCCGGAGTCGCTTTCTACCGCACACCGACGGCTCGACGTTTCGTGGATCGCGCCTCGGACCGTCTAGGTGTGTGCGTGAGCCTGCTATCGGAATTGACATTTCGAATGCTAATGTCGCCGATTGCCAGAATCGATAGGGCCCCTCCGGGTGACACCTTTGCTCTCGGCCCCTGACACATGACGCACCGCTTCACGTGGGTTGCTGGGCTCT